GGAGGAAGTAAAAATTTCAAGAAAAATGCGGACGAACTTTATGGATAGCCCCATAGCCATAAATGCATGCGTGCAAGAAAACGTTCGCCCGTCTAGTACGTTCGACGTACTTAGACTACTATAACTGTGTCTATCGATGAATTACTCCCCTCGGGTAAAAATGTCTTTACACAAAACATTTTACTGGATACTAAAACATTTCAATGAACACCGATCAAACTAAAACATCTTTAGACAAAGCATTTTGCCTATAAATATTCTGGTTTATCGCGTTTTTGCCGTTTGATGAATATATTGGAATCTATGTAAATCGAATTTTTGAAAAGGATTTCCCATAGAAAAAAGCATTACATTTTTATCGTCATCTGCTGGAGATCGCGTGCATAACCAAGAGGTTAAATCAGCCTTAACAGTTCTGAACAGAATTATCCTTATAATTTAAATTTAAAATTAGCAGGATAGCAGATATTATTGAAAAGCATTTCAGAAAATAAACAGGAATTACGAAAATTTTTTTGAAATAAATAACGAGTGTGTTGCTATCAGTGAAAGCAACAATAATTAAGTACAAGATGTAGTGCTTATTATATATACACAACACACATATATATATTTTTTAAATTAGAAATTAATAAACTTATTCCACAAATTAAACTGTTTATTTTGTAAATTAGAGCAAAGTGTTATTGTCGATCTGAAAGATTATAACGAAAAATAAAAATGATTAAACTGTATTTAAACAAAAGTTATTATAATTTAAATATGATCAACATTTTATTATACTGAAAAATATATCTACTTAACTGCAGTATAATAATTTAATAAGTATTTATTATAAACTATAATGCTATATATGCTGGCAGATTGTCATTTTAAAACCTTTTTTAGTGACAACATACATCATGCTTGACCTATATTTGTATTTTGATGTAGTGAAAATTAGTTATTAAGGATATTGAAATAAAAAATAAAATATTGACCTTTCCTTAGACAAGTTTTGACTGCAATTACAGTTACATTCGTTACAAAGTATAACTACTGTATATACAAGAATTTTCTGTACATCCTCGACAGAAACAGTAATAAATATTTGCTAATATTTTAATTAAAAATTCAATAAAACTTTACAATAAGTTAACAGAAAAAACACAAGGCTTTATTTCTCTTCATCCTACGTCCTTTTCACACCTCAGGATAGTCTTACGGCGGAGTCGACCTTTTATTATATTCTCTTATCCGCTTCAATATATAAAACATGTAAAAAATTTTCTGTCGGCAATGGCTAACGTAAATATATAGTATATATATTAACATTATAGTCCTGGCTATTTATTGATACTAGTTTTTTCTAGTTTTATTAATGTTAATTTTTCCCTTGTTTTTCATATTTTATTCTGAATCTCAAATGATGATTATAATAATAAATTTTATTTAGTAGGTCTACTGAGATAAGTAGTCTTATTTGAACTATTTATTTTAAAATCTATGAAGGCTCACATTATTTTAGTTTATGAAGACTCACATTGAAGAAGAGGCCAGCGAAACTATCTGGCTCAGTTCGACACATAGAATGGACACTAAAATGTAATCTTTTATGTAAAGAAATTATATGAAAGTGTTATAACTGGATTAAAGGTTACTTCTCCTGCCAAATACACATCTACAAAAATTAAAATGAAGGCGACAAAAATCTAGAATAAAATAATAATAATAATAATGAAGCCTGATAACAAAATAATTTTATATTATCATAAAATGTAGCCTTACTGTTATTATCACATATTTAAGCATTTTTCCCTGAGATGTTTAAATGTATGGGTGCAATATTGAATGCATTTATATATACGGTTAAGCAAATAATAAGTCATTTAGTTCAATTCTACGACCTTTAATGGTCTTTCACCTTTAACCGAGTAAGCAGTAATACTCGTTAATCGGAACAAGGTCGATAGAGGTCGAAATCTATTCGATTCGGTTTTAATTCCGTAATTATTAAATTATTCATGCTAATGCTAAAACTTAAAATTTTTCCTGTCCGGATATTAATTGATATTAGTTCGTTCTTGGTATCACACAGAGGCCTACGAAGAGAGGCAATACAATAAAAAAAAACGCATTGAATTATTATTACTTATAATATTCATTACACCTATACCAATATGTCACCTCTTTCTTATTTTTATTGAAAAATATAAAAATATAATGGACTTATAAAGACAGCTAAACCATTCACTAGATGAGTGCGCCATATATGGATACGTTAAACAATTTCCATTAATTTGACCAATTTATTTACTTCGCAAATTGCTACACATTTACGGGTATATATTGCAATATACCTAGCAGAGATTATAATAAAAATTTAAAAGACCATAGAATATTATCTAGGAATTAAAAACTTTTTAAAATGTCTGCAAGTGACTATACTAGGAACACTGTAGGCCATACCAATATGGTCTCCTGTTGTGACTTTTTTGGACTATGAGTAAATAAGTCTTAAGCCTAACGAAATTTTCACTCTGCCATATGATTAAAACTACTATTAAGTAAAGAAAAATGTCTTTAAATATCATTTTTTTATAATCTACAACACTCAAAAAATAAATAGCGAAAAAATTTACTGTAATGTTATGATACACCTGTCGGAAAAATTCATTTTACTCTCTCGGCAATTACGAAGTTGATTTGAATCACGGTCATTATGAAAACTTCTCTCATGAATACTCATTGATAGGTGCTGTTATCTAGCGAATGCGGCTGTCAAAAACTGAGAAACAGGCTTGTAGCCTTATTAAGAACATATTTATTTCTTAATACGTATTAAGCTCATATTTAACGTGCTTACATTATACGTAAAAATACCAAAGGCCAACAAAAGTTTTCATTATATCAAAAATTCACTTTTATCGGGTGGTCACTATATCGAAAGTCGACTGTATTTGAAATATCAATTTTTAAACGCAGCTTACATTTATGAGACGTTTATAAACGTATTATTAAATTAATTAATTCAATAGTACTATAGAATCGAATCAAATATCCATAGAATTTATGAAATACGTATTTTGCTCTTCTTCGGCCAGTATAAAGAGGTTAATTGTAAATGAACACTTATATAATAGCAGATTATTCTATAAGCGAACTAAGTGCTTGCTTGAAACTCCCAGAACTTAAAAGATTCGAAAAGGAAATAATTTTATATAAAATTATAAATTAGCTAGACCTTAGTTTCTAGTTATTTAATTAGCTATTGTTATTATTTTTCTTTTACTATCTCTAGAATAAATGAAAAAAAGTATAGGCCTACTTATTTATTAAGATATACTTTTTCATCAATTGAGTATTAAGCTAAGTATTTGTAAAAATTTGTTTATTCTGCTCATCTTTTCTGTATTGGTTTTTACTTCAGGTTTATTGGATCTATTTTCATGATATATAACACTTTTACAAATTATTTTTTATGCTTTATCCTAAAAAAACTGCATTTCAATTTCGACAATTTGATATAAAATCAAAGGGAATTTGCTTAGAATTTAATCGAAATACATAATATTATTATATAAATTATTTACTATTTTTATATAATGTAACAAATAGGGGATTCAGTTTTTTAAATCAGAAAAATTTTTAACAGTAATAACTTCACATATTCTTCTTTAAGATATTTATGTGCCGTACAATGATAACCGCAATGAAACAAAATGAATAATATTGAATAATATATATCTCGGAAAGTCTACACGGAATTTTGCAGTTTGGGACATGACCTTCCAGCCTACATTGCTCTATGGTTCAGTAAAATTACTGGGCTCTCCCACCACGACCAGGTGGTAACCACGGGAGAGTTATTATTATTATTATTATTCTGAAATGATTTTACATGAGATATAATAATCATTTCAGAATTTATTAAGCTCCTAAAAGTCTTAAATTTTTATATAATGTTTATATAGATTAATCTTTATTAACGTTTTTACAATAGTTTAAAGTCATTCATAACTGTATTTTCAGACGAAAGTGATTTTATTTNATTACAAGAATAAGATTTCATACGATTTTTAAAATCATGTAACTGATAAATTAAATTGTATTTAGAAGCATTTTATGATAAATTTTTTTAAATAATTTATATAGAAATTTCTTATACTCTTCTATATTTAACAAAATATTATAACTTGTCAGTACATATATAATTTACAATTAATATGAATTATTTTAGACATTTTTGATATTAAAGCATTTTTAATCTCATTTAAAACTATAAAAATTGTTTTAATTAAATGTTCAAATCTGTAAATATTACAAATAATTTTTAATATTTGACAATGTACAGTATACATTAACTTCTTATAATTTAATACATGAATAATACGAATATTTAATGATCGTTAAGACCGCAATATTTTAAATTTTAAAATAACTTTATTTGAAAAATTTAATTAATTTGAAGTTTAGAATTCAAAATAACATCTCGCAAATCCATTTGTTTCTATTAAAACATTTTAAAAAATTAATTATTAACCGTATGTCAGTATCTTGTAGTAACTATCATTAAATATTTTGATAAATGCAGTTTTGAATGTTATGTTCAGTTTAATTTGCTATTTATACAGTTTCAATATTCGAGTAATTAAAAATACAATTCAATAAACACATAAAAATAAATTTGAAAACATTTACGAGCTATTTTCTTAATTTTTTTCTTAAATCGCCACACACAAAGTTGTTTGTAGAAACTCTAGAGTTTTTATAAATATCTCTGGTATGAATTGTATGAATTGTATTTTTTGGGCAAGAAGACCCCGAATTCGCCAAGTACGGCCTGCCATGTACCGAGCCAAAAACTGGATCCTTCTGCACGATAACGAACCTTTCCACACTTGTCTCAAGTGCGCCAGTTTTTAGCCAAAAATGGGGTAACTGTACTCGATCATCTTCTCTATTTACCGGATATGGCTCCTGCAGACTTCGCCTTGTTCTCCAAGTTGAAATTGGCGCTCAAGGGGCGGCACAACGACGACCTAGAGGACATCCAGAAAAATGTGACGAGCGTCCTCGGCACCGTAACTTCGGAAAGATATTCGAAGATGTTTGAATAGCTGTACGAGCGTTCTAAAAAATGTATCGACATGGGAGGGGATTACATTGAATAAAACAAAAAATTTCATTCATAACATAATATTATAATATAGTTATATGTCTATTAAACAATAGTCTCTTGTTGAAAGAATAATAGCTGTGATGGTATCAGTTATCCACTGTAATAGAAAGGATAATAACCAGTTATAATCACAGACTGTTACACACTCTATGATTATAACTGTCAAAATAAAGTGCTGTAATAATAATTCAATAGATTTCTGACAGAGTAAAAAACAAAAAAAAAGTAATAAATTCTACTATAAAATTTTTATTAAACATAAAAATATATATATTATTGCTTCTGTTTAAGGAACATAATTTTTCATTGAATCAATTGGTTGGTTAATTGATCTAAATCGTATAGAATAAGTTAAATCTTTTGTAAAAAGTACTGTTGTAAACTGAAAGAAAAGCGTTATTTATTGTCTACCAGAATATAACCTTACTATAGAACTGGTTAAAATCAGTTTGAAAATAAAAATAATCATAATAATAATAACTTTATAAAAAGATAGCAACAGTAATGAGGCAGAATAGGCAGGTAAATAAATTTGTGTTATAAGTTGAAATTCACTATTAAAACAAAGAAATACAAGCCCAAAAACCTATTTAATATTATAACAACGAAATACAAGTTCAAAGGCATATTTAAGTAAAGAAAATGTAAACAAAACTTAATTACAAAAAAATCAAACAGATAATAAATGAAAACATTCTAATGCAAGTTAAAAGCAATATAAAGTTAAATGAATTAGTGAACTCAAACAAACAGTAGAAATGAAATATGCTTAACAGCAAATTGTTTATGCTCTACACATATCGCAAATAAACTGAACCAACTCATTTTCCACATCTGTACAGCCACATTAGCCCACAATTCACACTTGCAGCACATAATCCACTTTTCTTGAATAGTTCCATATTGTTCATTGCAATATATGCAATAAGTATTTTCGTCGTTATTTTCCGGTTCTTTAGAACTTTTCTGCCCCTTTTCTTTAGTGAACTTCGAATCCGATTTCTCGAAATCCATTGCCCTTCTGCAAATTCCTGATTTTTTAACTTTAGTCTTGGCTTCTAGTGTGGCTTTGTATAGGGATCCAGTTATTTCTTCTGCTTGTTGTTGTTTGCGGCCAAATGAAACCATAGCAAAACGATCAGGAACAAGATCGGCAACGCTGCCGAAGATGCCACAATAGTCATGATTTATAAACATTAAGTAAAACCCTGAGAATAGGGTATCAAGCCATGATCTGGTCACGTGAATAATGTAATATTTTATCCTTCTAACAGAAAAAATAACTTTCGTTATTATAGAATTATAACAAAACATGTCAATTCTATATAAATGGAAGCAAAATATTATAAGAAATTGAATGAAACAGACAACTTATTTGATATTTTAACTACTCTTGTCGGAGAACAACACAGACACCATACTCAACAAGCCGTCATTAAAACTCAACTGTCTAGCCTCTAAAGAGAGTCTCCTTTTATTTTCTTTCAAAGAAAATTTAATTGACGAACTTGCCCCGTATGCCGAAGTTACCCCGTCCTCCCCTATGTAACAAAATCTTGTCGGCACTCTTGAGCAATAGAGTATTTTTATTACCATGATTTGTAAAACTTGCTATAAATGTAAAAAAATGATTATATAGAATAATATTAAAGCTTTTAATGTACTGTACACACAATATCTAATAATAATATTTATATAGAATACAAATATCGATAGTATATTTAAATATACGAGTATATTTAAATACTGTATATGTATTGATAGTGTAGAAATATCGATACATCATGCATTTAATATCACGTCTCATCTGATAGCGTCTTAATCAGAATTAGCTACATAATGATCAATAATGACTAATTTTAAAAAAATTCTTCTTTAATTCTTCTTATGATGTCATCTTTATCATTAAGAAACGATTACTCTTTCTGGTGTCAGTTTCATATTATCATTAAATATTTTATTCTGTTCAGCAATTATCAAATTTAGGATTTCAAAGTGCAAATTTAACAATATTTAAATGTATATTAAAAACTCATTTGATTATTAATTAATTACCAATCATTAAAATATATTTTTAAAATTAATTATATACAAGTTATAAGGTTGAGTAGATAATTTTAAGAAAAAAAAATCAAATTAAGCATGCAACTAAAAAATTATTATTAAAAGTCACTCAGTATCGACGATACTGTCAGAACATGAAAATTAATAATTGCAATTAATAATTAAGATATGTGTCTTATTACATAAATGTTCTAATTACAATAAAGTTTTTTTTTTACGATCAGAGTAAATCATTTAAAGAAAATAGAGAAATGAAGAGTAATTCTTTAAATAAGTTTTAATGAGAAAGAAGATGACCTTCGTTATCTTCTTTCTCATTAAAACTTATTTAAAGAATTACTCTTCAGGCCTTCAGTATTTTTTCCCAATGTCAAGGGAAACCACAAAAAGCCATTAATTTCAAGGTGATTTCGAAGTGCATCCATTTCTTTCAAATTAAGAAGTGTAGTAAAGAGTGAACTCAGTAGTTAAAATTTGAGAAAACATAATGAGGTAAATATATTTTAAAAATATGTTTGCTTTTAAAGTTTGCCTAAAACATTTAATTATATAATTATATATATATATATTAATCTATGTGTATATATTATCATTATATGTTTTGTCTATTCTCACTTGTTTTAAAGAAAAAAAAATGATATGATACGATAAAAAAATATTGTTAGAAGAAAAATTTTAAAATAATTCTCGTAAATTAATTTAATTTATATTTATAACCAGTTATAAT